TAAAATCAGCCGTGCATCAGAGAGGACCCGAAAGTTTTAAACCCCCTGGAGGAGCTGCAAATCCAGCCTCACCTGGAAGGTGCGATCCCATGTGCATGTTTACCAAGCATGCAAAACTTACGGTCCCTTTTGTCCCTAAAGTTTTGGGTGCTGAAATTGGGGTCCTTATTTCTGCTGCAAAAAATGATGCGTAGTTTTGAGGTAGGGCGAGACATCGTAGAAGAGTCATGAAGCATCATGGCTGTATGAAGGCCCTTGCATCTTACCCATGATGTTATGTAAAGGGATGGCTGTATAGTCCTCCACTGTACAGCATGAAGCGATTATTGCCGCGTTTTAGGGGCGCATGGTACTAGATGTTGAGCGGCAACACCTGCCCGGATAAAGATCGAAGCCGGACAATTTTTTGCAGCTCATACTCACATGCAAATACGTTTCGGCCTACCATGCGGCACCGTAAACCCCAAACCCTAGCTTGGGGCTTTGGGCCTCAGTGCATGGGTTTGGCAATGTCTCAAGCAGCAAGCATATGCAACTCAGCGCTTATGTTGGGTGTTGATACCCTGTAGGGATAATGGAAAATTAAAAGGGAACTACTATAGTATATTGGGCTATATAGGGAATAATGGGAAAGAGACTGTAGGTTGATGTTGTTTGGTATTTTGACGCGCATTGAGGGGTAGGAAGCCCACTGGTTGCGGAAGGTCTGGAGCAAGACTCACGCATTTTTGAGGCTTTTAGATTGATGATCCAGGAGAGCTGTGCGCAGCCCAAAAGCCTGCTCCCTCTAGCCCTCTTACCACCCCCCTGTGCAGAGCACGTGGTCCCGCAGCACTTTGCTACTTACCGGGGGGTTCGTAGGGGCTCAGGGAATATAGTCCCCGGCTTAAGTAGATAGAATATGGAATTGCCCAATATCATAATAAGATCCCCATATACCCCATATTCTATCTACTTAAAGGGGGACTTTTTATTGTTCAAGGATTTTATAGAGTCTTTATTCCCTTCTTCCCTGCGAAGTCCCAGTGGGGCTACGCGCCATTTGGTCTCCTGCTGAAGTTTACTTGCAAGTCGAAATCATAAACTTGTGGCTTCTGGCTCTCTACCGTCTTTGAGCTACAACTGCTTTAGAAGTACGGTGGATACTAAAAATCCTGCATGACCCTAAATACATTATATATTGGGAATAATGGGACTATTGTATATTAAGGTCATGCAGGATTTTTAGTATCAACAGTATTAAGCCCCTGGCCCATATATACCTGTAAAGCTGCAGTTTCTGTTACTTGTTATTCTGTTTCCCATTTGAACCTCCATTTGGGCATCCTCTTTGCGTCCACTAGTCCCGCCGGATTTGGAGGCATCACGGAGGCTGCTACCAACCTGCTTGTACAGATGCTGCACAAGGATTCGGAGATGCTTGAGTTCAGAAATGGGAGCGTGGGTTCAGGCTTAAAGAAAAGGCTACAAGATCAAGTAACGCGCTTTGATTGTGTTGGGTTCCTAGAACACACAATATCCGTGAATTGTTGAGCAGTACTGCAAAAGCAAGACTTCAGGAAATCTCTTCAGAAGTGGGATTCAGGGAAGGGTGACTGGGGCCTGTACTCTCTGCTGTGCGGCGAAGTCACGTGACACGACTAAAGCAGAACTCCAGAACCAGCACCCAGCATGTGCCTTCTTGACTTATTGCCGGTAAGTAGGGTATGGACAAATGGATCCATATAGCGGTTCCCTGAATATCTTCCCTCTTTCCCTTCCCAGCCAACTCACAAGATGAAGTTAGATTTGCAGCCTCGCTCCTGTCCTCCAGGATCTACTGATTGGCTTGTCTGTCGCGTAGGAAGACCGATGCTCATACTACGAGCTGTCTATACCCTAGGAACGCATTCCACCTGCATAGTGGGGTTTGGTTGTAGGCTATACTGGGTTTTGTAGTGGCTCAAGAGCAATCGTCCATTATGCTGGAAAGTGGGGTTCTAGGGTTAGGTGCTCTGAAGCCGTATCGCACGCGCCTAACCAAGACGACGCGTTGAGGAGCCAGATCAGAGACCTACAGCCTCTGACATGCTGAAGGAGTTGACAAGGGGGTTCTCAGATGTCCATGCTACTTGGGGAAAAGCAAAGACTTGAGTGCGCTTGGAGTTTTTTGAGTTGCCTTCACACTTTGCTAGAAGGGTAGGCTTGTGAAGGGACTACGGATTGAAGGCATTCAGGGATTATGTGTCCAAGACTATTAGTCGCAAATATTTCACCTCCCCAAGCCCTTGTTAGGGTTTAGGGTTTAGGCTTAGGGTTGGGGACAATGTCTAGATTCCCAATTTCTCTAAATCCAGGTGGATACATAGAGCTGAAACTCCTAAGGTGCCTCTACATGCCAGACAGGTAGCTCACGCTCACTTGAGCAGACAGACCGCTAAGAAAACGCGTCAGCAGTGCAAACATTGGGGTTAGCGGCCGGGCTCCGCCGTCAAGGATTCATCAGGGGTCTTGCAGGCTCTGCGTTCAGGGTGAAAGGGTTTAGGACATGGGGTTGGGGTGTCAGTGGACCACCAATCCCTCAGGGTTACCCTTATCCAAATCCCAAGGCGGATATCTAGAGACATCTAGGTGTTTTCGTAGTGATAGAAAGGGGGTATGTAGGGATATAAAGGGACGTATAAGGATATTAGGCCGCCAGGGTGTTGTCTTTCTTTGGTTCTCTTGGCAGGTACGGCTGCCCTTAGGTCCACATACGACCAGCCTATCAATCTTCCAGGCTTCTAGGGTAAGGGTTCTCTGTTCCTCTGGGATTGCAGTTCAAGAACTTAACCGTCGAAGGCCCCTTTGAAGGGGGATGTGGGGATGTAACTGGAGAATCACAACGAATCACAAGAAAAGAACATGCAGGATGAAATGGAGACTTGTGATGAACAGAGGTTACTTAGGGAGCTGCTACGGAACTTACAGTATGTCACCATGATACAGAAAGCGTGTTATTTACTATGTGTATATATATATATCCACATGATGGAAACCTAGTTTTGAGTTCCTTGAAGACTGAACCCTAAGTCCCCAATCCCTAAACTTTCCTAAACCCCTAAATCCCTAAACGCTTGAACCCTAAATCCCTAAAACCTAAACCCTAAGCTGGCCTGGTGCAGGATGAGTGGTTCATGATAACTCTGAGACATGGGAGGAGGATCAGCAAGCAAGCTTTGTCCAAGCCTCCCGGCTTGAAGCGGTGTACCTAAGGGATTTAGGGTTGAGGGTTTTAGGGTTTGGGGTTTAGGGATTTAGGGATTTAGGGTTTGGGGTTTGGGATTTAGGCTTTAGGGTTTGTGGTTTGGGGATGTAGGGTTCAGGGTTTGGGGTTTAGGGTTTGAGGTTTAGGGGTTCACTTCATTGTAGGGCTTGGGTTATCCCAACCACCATTTTTTGGACCCTAGATTTATCATCTGAATCCTATCATAGAACTTTCATATGGGTCCTATCAGGTCCTAACTTAATTGGCATACCAAAATCCTCTCATCAACGATGCCAGGGCGTGCTAGTCTTCCTGACTTTATGGGGGTTTGAGGGTTGAGGATGTGGGCTAAACCCTAACTCCCTAAACCCTTAACGATACCCATGATTTGCCCGGATTAGGTCATGGCAAGGGGCTGGCCGTAGAACGAGAAATGCATACGTTCGTGATGCCTAGGGATGCGGGAATGGGTTTGAGGGATTTGTTCACGGATCCTATGGGAACCACAATAGGGATCCTTTCGCGCAGTCCATAATAAACACTTTCGGCATTCAGGAATGTAACCCTAAACCCTAAACCCCAAACGTTTAGTAGTTTCCATTTCCTGGGCCATTCCTCCAAGTCCTACCCAACCGGTAGATGGGGTCAGGCCGTGGGGAGTCCTCCTGCTTTAAGGTTTAAGGTTTAGGGTGTACTTACTGGATGTTGGTAGGGACTATGGGAATACGATCCCCAATGTAAACCTTACATAATGCCTATATGACAAACTGCCATTATGCCATACTAATAGCCCGTAAGCACAGATCTAGAGTTTAGAGCTCCAAGTAGGTGAATCTTCTAGAACTGTTGAGCCCTAAACCCTAAACCCTGTAGAGTTCCAGTCCTGGAAACCCGTGTACATAACGAAACCCCAAAGCTGCCTGCGTTTAGACGCTCGCAGGAGATCTCACATGATTAGTAATTTTCTTCTGCAGTTCCCAAGATAGAGTCAAAACATGTTTTCTATAGGAAGTCTTGCTTTATAAAAATGATATTGCATCATCAACGCTACAAACTCACTCGGTTCAACCAGCAAAATACCTTAAACCTCAGCAGCGCAAGGCTTGAGTTCAAGAAGAGCAAGGCTTAACAGGGTACTTCGATGTCAAGGGCAGTTCAACATTATAACTCCTGCAAAGGATAGGGTGTAGGGCTTTGGGTGTGCGGTAAAAGGCGCTTATCCTGTTTATGCGCGGGTTGATTGAGCAATTTGCTAGGAAGTGCTTCTTGGCAACTTTGCTTGTTTATCAAATTTGCACTTGCTTGGTATCGCATTGGGCTTGACTGGTAGTAAGAGCACATGGTAGTTTCCTAAAACAAGGGAACCCCGGAATAGGCCGCAACATATTATAGTCCTTATTATGGGGACCCCAACAAAAGGCACCCTTAATTTTGGGAACCTTTCCTGTGAGTTTGGAATTTCGGGTGAGCGCTGTCCTGCCTGGTTCAGGGGAGTTGCTTTCTAGTCCTACTTGGGCATGGGCATGTTCCATGCGCGAGTTTTTATGTATTTGTACATTTGTGTACAGTTAGTATGTGTATATGTAGATATGCGTGTAGGTTCTTCTGTGTGTATAATTGCATGGTTAATTCCACTCTGACCGGCCCTATGCGAACTCATGTGCAAGTTCCTGTTGTACCCACGGATACATCTCATATAAGCCTCATGAACTTCCAAGTATACGGACACATTCTGCCCCTGTACCCAACCCCCAAAACCATGGTTTGGCCGCAGGGCATGGCGCACATGATCCTCCTCAATGCCTTGGCGATGAAGCTGCAGCGTGACCACTATGCAGAGAGTTGGAAGGCCCCTTCGAAAATTCTGCAAAGGCGAAGACGTCCACAGGCCAATGCCATAGCAGGCTGCCCAGGAATGAGGCTAGGATTTGCTACCGGAAGCCTGGTGAGTGGGTAGCTGGTACCAGGCTTTTGCTCTGTGTTCAAGCCCAAATTGTTCTGGCCTGGCCGAGACTTTGGTTGGGCAAAGTTGACCATGAAACGATTTCTTTCAACATGTCACGGATTAGCCAGTGGCAAGCTTGTCGAATGTTTCCTGAATGTTGCCTAGCATGATGTAAGGAATTGCCCTTAATCGAGGGGTATTGGGACTCTCTGGCCAACATCAGGATTCGTCGTGTTTGGGCTTTCAGCGGGTCACTTGCGCCTGGCAGGCTCCTGAGGCCAGCCCAAAGACCAAGTGGCTGGCAAGAATTGGCGGCCGCATGTGTGAGTGAGCAGCACTGCGAGCATCTACCATCAAAACTGCACTGGTGAAAACCGTGTCCGTGCGCCACCCTGAATCACCGAAAACTTAACTCAGAATTATCCCCAAAAGAGCATGGCCGCATGGTTTACGTACCAAAATTTCACGGCCTCATGACTTGCTATGGGTGCGGCTGCGCTGTGCAGAAAGTCTTTCCATGACAAACAACTCCAATTTTTAGCATGGTTCACTGGTTTTCCAAATCCGCAAGCCTCGCGCCGATCACCGTACTGTGACCCTTACTTTTGCGAATGTCAGGCGAAAATTAGTTAGCTTCGATTTTGCTACCAACCGGAAGCCCCATGTCCAATTTGCATAGAGTCTTGCGCATTCACAGCAGATGAGAGGCCAAGGAAGCTATTGCCCAAAATTCAGTTGAGACTTGGAAACTTCTGGAGAATGAAATTGATTTTGCATGCAGCCCACAGAGGTTTCGAGTGAAGGAGCTCGGCTCTACATTGCGCTACACGCAGCTGTAGCTGCGCCGCAATCCAAGACACATGAAAGCGAATGCGCGGCTTGAGGACTCCAGACCTTGTGAATGAGCCAAAACTCAACGAAGCGTCCGTCAAATCTTGTAGAAGCCAAGCAAATAATAGGGAAGGCTCTATACAGTCCCTATCCAGTTATTGCTTTAGCAGGTGTTCCAGAAAGTGGATGCTGATGCTTGGCTCGAGGTTGATAGTTTCAATTTGGGGAGATTTGCGGCTTAGGCTAGGGGTCGGGGTTCAGCGTGGGTTGCTGTTAAGGAAACTTAAGCGAAGTGACCGGGCTGTAGAACCAAATGAAAGATAAAATGGAAGCTGGGGTTGCATACCTAAACCCTCCTCCTACCCTCTATTAGGGCCTAAGTACCCATTATTAGGGACCATATATCCCCAATTAAGGGTACAAGGAGGGTCCTGGTAGGGAGTTTAAGGAACTGAGCTTGAGTTACCGTTGTATACTGTTTGGAACAAATGTTAAGGTCTCCTGAACTTTAGACTTTAAGTTCCTTACCGGCATGCCAGTAGGTGATATGAAGGAAAAGACCTGTAGTCTATCAACTGCCACTGCAGTTCTAGGGCTTGGGGTGTAGGACTAGTTCTGCGCAAGATATCCACCTGCTGTGGATGGTGGTCCTAGTCTGGGGGGTTGGAGTTCCCAAAATCCCCTATTGAATAATGCACCTTGTTGAATAATGCACCTTCTACAGGCCCCCTCCTGTACAAAGGACACAGTGCGTTGGGGATAGCTGCCCTTCTCACACAGCATATGGCCTGCAAGACAAGAGACACGCGTCAGTCACGGCCTTTTGGCAACAACTTGTCTAACATGCCAGAGAACGAGATTAAAACTTCCCACCTACCTGCCCCAAGCCTCAAAATCCTTAGGTTCTCAAGCTCTACACCCTGAGCCCAAACTGAAGCTTCAACTCAAACCTTCGAATCCCTAAACCCCTAAAGTCCAGGATCACAATGGGAGCATCTCACTGGAGGAATTCCGTGCTGCCTGCTTTCAGCTTGATGTCAGTGCCATGGCTTCGGTTTAATGGTTTAAGGACTTTGTCTACGCTTTAGGATCTTGGTTTAGGACTTAGGAAGGTATCTTTTTTCTGGTGATGTGCCTTTCACAATGCCAAGTCCTCATCCAGAGCAATGAACTGCCCCATCAGAGTGTTCTGACTTGTTGAGGCCTTCTCGTCATTTGACCCCACCAAAGCAAAACGCCTGACGATATAGTTTGCCACAGGGACCTTGGACAAGCACTCCCTCATCTGCGGTTGGGCTTCTACCGGGACGATCAAGCTCCTCAATGTAGAGGTTGAGAACAACACCCAACTTACACTCCCTATAGGCCTTATATCCCCCAAAGTTCTGGTTAACTGAGAAACATTCAAAGCCTTTGGTCCTTATTGAAATAGCGAGAACATGTAGTCTGGTACAACCAGGCCTCATGAAGAACTGCTGGTCCAGACCCCCCCATCCCTGATCCTCAGACCCCCGTGGGTAGCCCTCTATACATGCTCTCTATCCATCTACACATCTTCATAAAAAGATCCCTGCACTTACTTTGAACTGGCTACAGCCATTTTGGCTCAAGTTTTCCTCCGAAGGCAACCCCAAAAATTGAGGTGGAAGTCTAGTCACGCCTGCCGTGTCTGCAAATGATGAGGTTCCTGCCATATCCGCAATAGTTGACGTGCAAGACAATCAGCTAGTGCCTGTCGGTGAGATGGCCTCACCTAGCAGTAAGAAGCGCAAAGATCTGCCTCTGGCACTCCCAGATCCAGATGATGCTTTTTGGTCAAGGATCCAGCAATGTGTATCCACTGCAGTATCAGTTTCCATGACCTCATGGCTTGAAGCTTTGAACTCACGCGCTGCTTCCACAGAAGATGGGCTCCAGACGGTTCAGAAAAGCCCCAACCAGCAAGGGAAAGTGATTGCTGAGATGGACGAGAAGTGGGCACAGCGCATGGATCATGTGCAGGCTCAGGTCGTTGAACTTCAGAAGCAGTGTGCATCACCTATGGCACCAAGTCCGAGCCCACATAGCCGTCAGGTTTCCTATTCTCTCTCAGCTGGAGGTCCTCCTCTCGCTCCTTCTATGTTGATCATTGTGGGAGGCTGGAAGGATGGTGAACGTCGCTTGTGGAAGCAGCGGGGGTCAAGCAGAAGGTTCGCAAGATCCTATCTCTTCCAGAGGCTGCTCTTCCTGAGCAGCGTCGTTTCCAGAACGAAGTGATCCAAGCTCTCAGAGGAGAAAATTGGGTTCCCAAAAACACGGATCGAGCGGCTTGGATTGTGTCAGACAAAGCCCCAAAGCAGCGGGGTGCGTCAGGGGCTATCGCGAAGGTGAATTCTTTCCTGGTCCAGCTCGGCAAGCCAAAGGACATGTTAGAAGTTGACTTCCGGGGTGCTGAACGTGCTTATGTTGGCGCTTTCAAGGTTACCGGTATGTCTCCGGGTCCGATGAGTTTTCCTCCCCGCATGGACAAGTTCTTGGTGTGGGTTGAGCATGACACCGACACAGGAATGGCAGTGTGGCTTGATATCCACAACATGGCTCAGGGTGCTCAGCCCAGTGCCGAAGCACTTGTCTCCCAGTGGGAGGCGCGTCGGTGAGGACGGCAGGGCATCCCGGCTTAGAATTCGCATCAAGGACCTGACGACTCTGAAAATCACAGTGGTCGATCGTGTCTGCAGTTGGCAACATGGAATGTAAAGGGGAAGACTACTGAACTGGTACTCGACCTCTTGGATGCTTTTGCTGTGGATGTTCATGTGGCAGCGTTTGAAGAATTGACTTTGGGGTTTGACCTTGCGTCGGGCAGCCATGATTTCATCCGATGCCCTAGGCATGATGGTCGCGTTCTGCTTGCCAAACCTCACGGTTGTTACAGAGCATGCGGCTCCTTTTGTGATGCTAATGAGGGCAAGGAATTTGGTGCCTCGCATGTGCTTTCCCAGCTTCAGCTCTAGTGTTTTCCGGGATCCTTTGTTGTGGTGTGTGCATCTTCCACACGATGACCGCCCCATTGAGGACTTGGCTGATGCATTGCAATCACTGCAAATGGTGGCATGGTTGGGGGTCCTCAATTGTGCCCTGGTGGGTGGATACATGTGGATATCGCCTTCGACCATACATGTTTCAAAGCACTCGTATCTCCATGGGTTTGGATGTTTGGTCGGCTAATCCTACTCCTTCCGGAGCCTTATCCCGCGGGCGTCTGGATCATCTGGTGTACAATGCTCCGTGGATTGCTCTATGTCATGCTGTACCGAATGTTGGGCCAGAAGTCGAGGCGTGGCCGTTTGGTGATGAGGTGTATCACTGGGAGGCTAAGGAGGCATTGGGAGTGGACCATGTGCTCATCAGCCAAGAGTTCTTGCTTTCACAGCCAGTTCTTCACCGCCGCCGGCTGTTAGGCTGCAGAAGGGTAGGCAGGTATGTCGTCGACAAGGCAGCGGAGAACCGACTTGCTCAGTTGGTGTCAACGGGTGCCACTGTCCGGGAAGGGGTTCTCTTGCACATGCACTCCCTGACTTGGAAGACTTCAGTGCCTCATGCTCTAGGCAGGTGGTATCCTTGAGGTTCGTCGATTGAGCTGAGAGGAAACATCTTTGCAGACTTCGCAGTGTGACGGCTGATCCACGTGAGCGTGCCCGTATCTCGAAGCAGATCTTGGCAACTCGTCGACAAGCTCGGTTGGAATGGCGCCAACAGTATCCAAGAGTTGTGGCTTCATGCAGCTAATTGCGATTGGAGTGCACTGCGCCTGATTTCTCAGCGTGTGGGTGTTGATCATCTAGTGTCTGCCAAGGGCTGCGTTGCTTCAGCTGTGGACTCAGTCGTTGATCACTTTCGTCTTCGATTTCAGTCTACGTCCTCAGATCAGGGGGTGGGATTTCCATGGAATGGGGTGTCGACCGTACCGCCCATTTTCGCAGTCGACCTAGGCCCAGTGTGCTCTGTGCATGCATAAAGGCAAGCTGATTTGCTTCATGCGTTGATAAATGTTTCTGGTGGACTGGAGTTCCTTCGCGATGTGGTGAACCAGGTCCATGCTCACCCGGAACTTCAACCTGCAGGGCTTTTTGAAGAGATGGTCTGAATCCGTGTGCAAATTGGTTGCCGCGTTTAGATACCTGGCCTCTTCCTCACGAACAATTTGGTGGGCTGCCAGAGATTCAGGTTGCTGAGGTGGTGTGGTTGGCAAAAGCATGATGGCTAGGAGTGCAATGTACGATGATGGTTATGTGTTTCTCAACCAAAGTTATTTTCCCGAATTCTGTGTTTGGTGTTCGCTGATTTGCGTGAAGCTTGGACTAGGCGGGGAGACATGCCGCCCTTCACAGCTTTGACCTGGCCAGTTGGGCGCTCTTCTTTGTGCATGATTGGATTGTTGTCTTTCACGGGGATGGCCCAATTGCGACGGCTCCTGCCAGACATCATTCAAACCATGCGTCGCCTGCAAAGGGCCTCAGCATGCCTCAGCATTAATCTTGAGAAGTCACGGCTGTTGGGCTGGCAGGGGCGTGGGCCGTTGCCAGCTTGCTTGCATGGCGTGCAGGTGGCTGATCAGTCACATTCTTGGGTTGCGTGTTGTCAATTATTGCGTCAGATGAGGACCTGGCCCAGTCGATGAGTGCTGTTAAGGCTTTGAGTGCCTCTCGCCGGCTATTTGTGGATCGTAGGGTCAACATTTTCCAACGGGCTTTCTTGTGCAACATGGTGGTCGTTGCTTCAATGCGATGGATGATGCGTGCATTGGTGCCCTCTGCTGCAGTGTTGCGGCTACTCCGAGTCCATCATTCTACGCTGCAGGTGTGGCTACTGGGTTTTAGATTTTAGACAACATCAGTCATGGGCCGATGTCCGCCAGTTTGCCTCCATGCGTCATGCAGCGAAATTGTGGGGACGATGCCGTAATGGGCATCATTGGGATGGTTTCTGTGCCATGCAACATTGGCATTTGATTGGGCATATGGTTCGCTCTTCTGCCTCAACGTTGCCGTGTGCCACTTTGACTTCGAAGATCCATGTGGGAGCTTTGCATCAGGGCAGGCGTCGGTACAGACGAGGTCCGGACTACACCAATGCTGGTCAAGTGTCTCAATTCTTGCGCGTGGGAGTGTGCGCCAGCCGAGTGGCGTGGCCATCCTTGGAGTCGCACTGGGTGCAGTATTGCAGTGCTGACCCGGGAGGTGGCCTGAAGGGTGGAGCAGGTACCTGTCGAGCACATGTCTTTCAGCCGTCGTTGTTTACAAGGTGTGCTTTATGGATCCTAGTCCTAGTCATTCTTTTACCGCGCTGATTCGGGAAGGTTGCAGTTGAGTGAGCTGCGCATGCGTGAGGGGTGGGTTTCTTTTTCGAGGCCCACCTTGGAAAACAATTTCCAGTCCTTGGAGCTCCTAGTCATTTGACATGGTACATCTCATGTCAGTTTGAATGTTTGCGAAATTCCTTGTGTTTCCCTTGTTCCGCTTCCGGCCTTTCCTAGCATGCTACGGGCTAGAGGAGTAGATCTTCAGTACAGTGAGGTTCATGTGCAATGGATTTCCATCGTCTCATGTGGTCCTTGAATTTGGACAGCCCTAGTGATGCGGCAACGTGCTGCTGCGAAGTGGCATTGTGCTGCTGAGTGGGTGTCCTGTGCATGTCGTTGCGCTGGCGGATGCCCGGACTCTAGAGCGCGGAGAGAGAGACATTGAACACAATTACTAGTGTCCGGTATAGAAAAAGGTTATATCCGGTACAGAGTTCTATAAAATCAGCTAGAACATGAGTATTATCTTACTTGGTTCAACCGCCAACAAAGCACCTTGGATACTGCCCCCCCCCACTCATTCCCAGCTGAAAATTGTTTATAGAATATAGTCTTATAGAGCCACTAAGATGATCCCTAGTATAAACACCCTAAACCCTAGACCCTGAATAGTAGCTTCCATTTTCTTTTGCCTTATCCCAACATAACCCTTATTTTGCCCATACATAAGCCCCATATAACCCTTATTGTTTCCTGTGCATGATCTCAGGTCAGTGGTGCCCTTGTACGCAGGAGGCGCGCATAGGCGGCCGGCGGGCCAGCATCGGTGGCCAGCGGCACTAGAGCTGTTTAGGGGTTTAGGGTCTACGGCTGAGGGCTCCGGCTTAGGGTGTACAATCGAATATCAATCAACATGCCATGACTGAATCGATTCGATCGACATCGATCTATCG